TCCCTTCCAGCCCTAATATCTATGAAATCTGTGAAATCTAGATGACCTCCTGAGAGCCCTTCTAATCCTAACTTCCTATGATTCATTTTTCAGTGCATCGTATCAGTAACATTCGTGGTAGTAGTAAGTTTTTTTTGGATAGCTGCTTTAGTGCTTTGCCACAAGGACTAAGTGAGATGCCTATTTAACATGTACAGTCACCAGAGATTCTGACAGCAATAAAAGAGGTGTCACTCCCAAACTTCCACTTCTGGGAAATAGTGGAGAATGGCAGGTCTTCAGTATGGAAAACTTGGCAGAGCTGTGTGTAGCTTCCCAAACAATCCATTTGAATCTTACTTTCTAAAATATATTGTAACGATAAGCTGAATCAATCAGAAAAGGTTTGGAACTTCTTAAACTAGTCTATTCTAGAAGTGTAATTCATACAAAAATATAGATTTATTAAAGTGTTTACTAAACTAGAGCTGACTAGAAAAGAAAAGGAAAGAAGGAAAGGAAAACCATGATTTTATTTTAGAAATATTTTCTCTTTTTAAATTTTAAAAGATTCAGAAAATGTTGGCAAACTATAGGGTTGGTGAGACCTAAAAAGAAATGTCATAACAATTTTGTCAAAAATGTTCAGTTTTAAAACAAAAATTTCCAAATTGTTGCCCAAAATTAAAAAATGTCAGACAGTTCCAGTCAAAACAGGAGTAGTCCTTTCAGTACAAACTAACTGATTTGATCAAATAATCTGAGTCACAGAGGAAGAGGAGGAAGAAGATGAAGATGATAACATGTCAACAGTAATGCGGCTCAGGACAAAGATGCCTTGGAAAACCTGTTGGAGATATCTTACCTCTGGAGGATTTTTCTTGCTGTTTCTCATGATTTTCTCCAAGCTGTTGAAACACTCAGTCATTGTAGCCATAGATTACTGGCTGGCTAGATGGACGTCCCTGGATGAGAAACATAAAGAAGATGAGGTGGGTCACAAGTTAAAGCTTTCCAGGCAAGACTTCTCAGATAACTGGAAAATAACCCTGTTATCCTACAAACCTATTCATTTTGGCAGGTTGTTTCTAGAGGTGCCCTAAAATCAGTTTTTATAGGATCAGTGCGTATGTTATGATAAAATAAAAACCAGCCCATCCATCCATAAGTTAAAATGAAACCCAAACTCATTTGAGTGTAGGAGAATTTGGGGCCTATGTTTTCAAACACAGGGTGCATCAACACATGCAATTAGCATGTAGCAATAAACTCAGGTGCCGTTCACACCTGCCAGCCCAGGGCTACTCTGCCCTGGCTCAGTGTGCTGTGGAGGGCTGGCTGGGGCACAAGGGTGCCACAGTGCAGGGCTAGCTTGCAGGCAGCCTCCACACTGTAGC